AGAGAAGGATTAAAGCAAATGATTTCTCTCTGCAAAGCCTTTGCTCCCAGCTAAGGGTAAGAACATCTTGCACTGCTCAAAGTTTCTTCAGATAACATATTTCATGCCACTTTATCCCTGAGAGGCTTTGCATAACATGGAGCTACAGTGGTAAGGCCGAGATATAGAGAAGAAATTTTGGACTCAGCAAAAATCAGGCACAGCCTGGGGCACCTGAACTCCTTCTGAAGATGGGGAACAGAAGGAAAAACAGCCAAGTTATCCCTCTAATGCATCATAAAGTGTCCCAGCTGGTTTAGGTGTTCGGTGCCTGAGGAGGGAGGAGGAGAAGGAGAAGTAGTAGGAGGAGAAGGAACAGTTTTCTTGCACTGCAACCTCAGATTATAAACTTCTTGGAGTCTTCATCTTGAGCTTGGGGAAAAAACAACCCAAAGCATAAAGCAGCAATTGCACATTCATAAAATCATGGAATGGTTTGGATTGGAAGGAGCTTAAAGCTCATCCCATTCTACCTCCCACCATACTCAGGGACACCTTTCCCTAGCCCAGGCTGCTCCAGGTCCCATCCATCCTGGCCTGGAACACTTCCAGGGATGGAGCAGCTACAGCTTCTCTGGGCAACCTGTGCCAGTGCCTCAGCACCCTCACAGGGAAGAATGTCTTCCCAATATCCAGTCTAAACATCTTTTTTAGTCTGAACCTTTCCCATTGTCCTGTCCCTCCAGCCCCTTGTAAATATGTCTCTCTCCATCTTCCTTGTCAGCTTCTTCAGGTTATGGAATTCTTTGAATTCCTTCAAAAAAAGGCCAACCCACATGTGACAATCTCACTGGAGCCCAAACTCTGCAGCCTCTTCTTTCCAAAGGATCAAGGAGAAACACTTGTCACTGAGCTCAATTCCAATTCTCCTATCTGCACCAACCAGTGCTGTTGTTTGGGGAGTCCTCCAGCTTCTCCCTGTTAGACTTAAACCTTCCTTCTTTCAAAGGAATGGAAAGGGAATTTTTTTCTCATATTCCTGGCTCTTTGCTCTTTGAGTTTCCTTTCATTCCTTCCATTCTCTATGTCATGGTTTGTTCCTTCCTCCAACTTCTACCTGAGGGAGCTCCTACACCAATGGACCAACCAACATCCACCTGTAATTACTGCCACCCTCAGCTCTGACTGTGGCAAAGCTCCTTGTGCTTACACAACTTCTATGAAGTAGTTTTCCAAGCTCTAGAGTAATTTTCCAACTTCTGAAGTAGTTTTCCAAGCTCTGTGGAGCAGCTTTGCAGCCTCCCCAGCCCATGGATGAACGAGGAGAAGGGCCACGTGGGCTCTGGAAGCAGCTGGAATGCTAACGGGCAGCGTTGGCTGGAGCCAGCCCCTGGTACCACGTGCCTCCTGGAATGGTTGGACCTGCCAATAGCTGGGATCTAGCAATTAGGGAAAGCCCAGAGCCTATAAATAGCCACAGAGGTGAGTGCTGTGGCACTGCTATGTGTGCTGCTGCCCAGGAAGCACAGAGCAATCACAGGGGTTTTACACACTAAACAAACTCAGGAGCTGTTTCATCCCAAGGTGCCAAACCTGTCCCTCTGGATCAGAGCACAGAGGAATGTGGAGGAAAGGTGAGACAGCTCAAACCACTGCACTGCCAGGAGGAAGTCGGGAACCTGTCAGAAAGCTTACATGGGACAGTATGGCACTGCCCAGAGCCAAATGACACCGTGAGCATGATGGAAGCACAAAGTGCTAGATGAGGGATGTCTTCTCCAAGGGAGAAGTTTGGATTAGGCTTTCACTTGTGTAAAAAGCTTTTTCTACACTAGTTTCTTTCTGCAGGTTTCTCTTCTCCACACACATCCACACACCTGCAGTGCTGTAGGAGTTGGTCATGTTGACATGGATGTCAACCATGGGAACTGAAGCCTCAATGCAGGGGGTAGAATGGGATGGGCTTTAAGGTCCTTCAACCTAAACCATTCTATGATTCTAGGATTATGAGAACTTAGAGAGCTGCCTTCAACAACACAGTTTGGGGGTTACTGATAAATAGTCCCATTAACTCCACTCTCCTCTGAGAGCGGATACTGTGTTTAGGTATTAGCCAAAGATTTTTTGGGAAATTTTAAAGCTCAGTACTAAATTCTCATTTAGCAGAATTCCAAGAGCTTCTTGCCAGCAGCTCTTAAAGCCCTACACAAAGCCAGAAGCAGTCCCTGCTTGCTGTCCCTCTGCCTGGCTCTAGAGTCACCAATGTTTGCCTTACCGAGTGCACTTCCAACAGGAGATTCCCTATGATCTGCTTCTAGGACGAGCAGAATCCCAGAATGGTTTGGGCTGGAAGGGATAGGAAAGACCATCTAGTTTCACCCCCTGCCACAGGCAGGGACACCTTCTATTTGTCCAGGTTGCTCCAAGCCCTGTCCAACCTGGCCTGGAACACTTCCAGGGAAGAATTCCTTCCCAGCATCCCATCTCATCCTGCTCTCCTTCATCTAAAGGCTACTCCTCCTTGTCCTGGCACTCCATGCCCTTGGAAAAGTCCCTCTTCACAGCAGACTTAAAGCAAAGAGGTGTATCAAAAACTATTTTTATTTACCAAGGCTCATCTTAAGGAATCTATTTTGGACATCCAAGAGACATCCACTGCTCCCTTGGGTCACAGAGGGAAGGAGGGAACACAAAGCACATCATGAATGCTGTAAATGCCATCTCTGGGCTCACACTGATGGTTTTAAGGAGTGAGCTGGATCAGGGATTGGTGAGCACAGCCACTGCTCCTACTCAGCACCTCTTGGGCAGCACTAACACCCGAAGCCCTGACACTCCTGAGGTCATGGGGCAAGGGAAGGAGCCACCAGCAGGCTCAGCCTTGGGCGCAGTGACCCGAGGCACGGTGACTGTTAGTGACTCACAGCCTTGAGCTGCCAATTAGCTGATGTCACTTTCATTGACATCATCTTCATCACATGGTTCTGGACAGATCTCCTGTCCCATCCCTGACCCAAGGAGAGCACAAAGCAACAGTCAATGTGGTAATTAAGATGCACAAATGATGGTTGTAAGTGAAGATTGTAATTAAATGCAGCATGTGATTAAATGTACTATAACTGCTCTGGCACTGTGGCTGCACCAGAGACCTTCAAACTGTTCTGGAAGTGTGACTTCCTCTTGGGAAAGAGGGTCAGTGTCAGAAATTCCTCTTGGAACAGCAACTAAAAATTCCAGGTCAGATTCACAACTAAGTCCTGAAATCACCCAATTCCATTGGGACCTCATTCCTGGCATTCTTGGCCTCATTCTTCACTCACACAAACTCTTCCTCATGCTCATCATGTTTCACACCTTCCTTCAGTGCTCAAGGAACAACAGGCAGAAGGACAAGCTCCAGTATGTCTTGGAGAACAGCCTCCCTGCACATCTGTCCCAACACATGCCCACATGTTCCACCACACACTGCTGGAAGACTCCATCTCCCACTCTTCCAAGACACTGCCACTGCCAACGAGTTTTCCTGGAGATCACAGAACAATTTGGATTGGGATGAACCTTAAAGGTCATCTCATTCCACCCCCAGACATGGGCAGGGGCACCTTCCAGGTTGCTCCATGCCCCATCCAAGATGTTCTTCAGCAAGCAATTTGATACTTTTCCATGATTCTGAACCAAAAGTTGTTGTGACATTAGAATTTCCGTTAGAAAGGTTCCACATTCAGTTGGGATATTTACAAAGTGCTTTACAAATAAATATTCAACATACACAGGTACTTAAATTGACAGAGAAATAAAATAGGAATCACATTCCTGGACTTTAAGTCTGACTGGTTCCATGTGCTCTTCCACACAGGTCAGAACCAGGAATTTCCACAAAACTGGGCAGTCAGAGACAACAAACTTGACTGCAAACTGCAATTCCACTGAGCACAGACTCACTTCAAGGCATACAATTCCTTTAACCTTGTCTTTTTGGACTTGAACTTAAATCTCCAGATATTTCTGCTATCCACAAACTCCAAAAACCAGCCCTGCATCTTGTCACAGGACATTTGTGAAGGCCTCAAAAGGGAGTCACCACCATCTGCAGGACGTCCTCGACCTCCCAAGATCTCCTTCAGCCTCGAGGGGAAAGCTGAACATCTCCATAGTCAGAGGACATAAAGTTAGGAGATAAACATCATAGGTTATGCACATGGTTCTCACCGATGTTTTAGCTCCACTTAGTGGCCAAAAGGCTCATGCAACTACTACTTTCCTCATGAGTTACAACCACCAGGAGTTACAGAATCACTGAATCAGTTAAGTTGGAAGGGACTACACAGTGGGTCATAGAATCATAGAACAAACACCTCCTACCAGAGCAGGTTGCTCAAGGCTTTTTCCAACATGCCTTTGAACACTGCCAGAGCTGGAGCATCCACAACCTCCCTGGGCAACCTGTGCCAGTGTCTCACCACCCTCACAGGAAAAATCTGGAGATAAACTGGAAGAGACCTCCAAGACCATGAAGTCCAACCCTTAACCTGTCACTGCTGTAACCCCTAAACCCTGGATCTGCAGCTGGTGCTGACAGCTTTGCCCAAGGGCTCCTCAGCTGCTTGGACAGGTTTTCTGCCTCCTTGGCACTCACTCTAAAGCATCACTCATTCCTCAGAGCACGACAAGAGGATACTCTTTCCAGATATGGTTTCTGGCTCCCATTTTGCGCTGCTGATGGCCTCAGGATGAGGAACCCAGGAGATGGGAATCAGAATCATCAAGGTCAGAGGAGACCTCTGTATCATCAAGTCCAAACCTTAACCGGTCACTGCGGTAACCCCTAAACATATATTCCAGCACCAGATCCAGACACCTCTTAAACACCTGCAGGGATGGTGTTGGACCAGATGGGCCATCCAGCCTCTCTGTCAACAACATGCCAAACAGTGGGATCTCCACTCTGATCAGTGTGAGCATCCTGATCCACAGCTACAGCATCACCTCCAAGGCCAGTTCCGAACCCCAGGAACACTTACCCGGGCAGCAGCGGCGACCGAGGCTTTGACTTGTCCTTATCCTTGTCCCTGTCCCTGTCGCGGTCACGGTCCCTGTCGCGGTCCCTGTGCTGCCGGTCCTTCTCATCCCTCTTCACTCGCTCCCGCTCACGTTCCCACTCCTCCTTCCGCCGCTGGCGCTCCTTGTCTCGCTCCCGTTCCCGCTCACGCTCCCGCTGGCGCCGCTCACGCTCCCGCTCACGCTCCCTCTCCCGCTCCCTCTCCCGCTGTCTGCTCTCACGTTCCCTCTCCCGTTCACGCTCTCTTTCCTAGGAAAACAAGAGAGAAATAATTGTTGACGCTGTGTGGGAACATCTCCCAGCAGAGCAGGCAGGAAGGCTTCAGTCTGGGACGGTAATGATTGACATTCACACTGTCAGGGCAAAGGATTGGGATCAATAATATGGAGATAAACAACCATAGATTCGTAACATGTTAAGGGACTGGAATGGACCTTAGATATCATCTACTCTCACCCCCTGCCCTGGGCAGGGACACCTCGCAGCAGACCAGGTTGCTCAAGGCTTTATCCAACCTGGCCTTGAAGAATGAATCATGGAATGGTTTGGGTTGGAATAGACCTTAAAGCTCAAGCAGTTCTACCCCCTGCCATGGGCAGGGACACCATCCACTAGCCCAGGTTGCTCCAATTCCCATCCAACCTGGCCTGGAACACTCCCAGGGATGGAGTAGCCACAGCATCTCTGGGCAACCTATGCCAGTGCCTCAGCACCCTCTCAGGGAGGAATTTCTTCCCCAGTATCCAATCTAAACCTCTTCTATGTCAGTGGAAGCCACTCCCCCTTGTCCTGGCACTCCAGGCTCTTGTAAATAATCACAGAATGTTAAGGGGTTTGAATAGACCTTAAAGATCATCCAGTCCCAACCTCCTGCCCTGGGCAGGGACACCTTCCACTAGCCCAGGTTGCTCCAAGCCCTGTCCAACCT